AGCACGTGAGAGAGAGTGGAAACTTCCCAGAACATTGTATTGTGCCACGCCCAACAGAAATAACCCAGGTGGATAGCTTCAGCAAAAGGAGCTCCTCAGTTGCTCATAGAAAATCCCACCTTGGGGTTTACAAAGACTTATGGGTAGAAAAGCCACACTAAGTAATTTACTACACCGCAGCGTGGTATGTTCAGTCTGACTGCTCACTGGGCTGTACATGTGGGAAAGGCAGGCTGTTCCGTCTACAGTCTCTTCCACTGAACACTTTAAAAAGACAGAGTGCACTTCAAAACCCTGAGCTCTGAGTTACACAGTAAAGCACTAGCCCATCTCCAGGACTGTGGGCTTAAGTAATGAAAACCAGCCCCAGCCCTGCTGCCTCTGTGACCACAGCCACCTCCTGGGACGATCCTGTTTCTTCAACACAACCGTAGGTGGATGTTCTGACAGATTTGAACTTTTCAGGGTAAAACAATAGGTTTTACAGCATTCTTTTCACTGTTGCTTGAAGCATGTTTTATGACCTTTTTTCCTGATGGTGATATTTCTTGTTTCACTGGTTAGTTGTGTCTTTTTTCAATGTAGATATTAGATTACGTTTATGCTTTTTCCTATTTGAATATTATGTTCACACCAGTTACTAGTGTGACCGTTCTGCAAGTGGTGCTAGTATAGGATCTGAACACTGTGACCAGAGTCATCATGGTTGCACTTTAGATTTGTAGAAACGGTGACTCTTTCCTGAACTTTTGCTGTTTGCTAGACACTGTGCTAAACTTTTTCTGTGCATCATTTTATTTAAATGTCATAAGACTTCTACAAATTGCATACTCAATTTATGAAAGAAAAATAGGAAATGGAAGAGCTGGGATTTGAACCCAGTCCTCTGACTCCAAAACTCCTATGTTCGTCATCATGTTGATCTCTACTTTCTTATAACATCAGCTGTTAACTCTTGATTTTCCTGTAACAGCTCCATAAATTTTTGTTCATTGAGGTATAATGAAACATGTGTTTAAAATATAAAATCTGACCCATTTTGACTTGTGTGTGTACACAGGTCAAAATGGGTCAGATTCTACATTTTATATTGATATGCCTTCCTACCTACCCAGGAAACCACCACCGGGATCCAGATCATAAACATCACCCCTGAAGTTCCCTTGTGTCCTCCCTTCCTTCCCCTTCTCACCCCCAGGCAGCCACTGGCTGGCTTCCTGTCACTGTAACTGTCGCCTAGTTCACCTTTTCCAGAATTGCATGTGAATGGAGTCATCAGGAAGTTCTCTCTGTTGTTTGGATTCTTTGACTCAGCATAATTATTTTGAGATTGTTTGATGGTTTGAGGTGCAGTAATAGTTGATTCCTTTTTGTAGCTGAGTAGTATTCACCACTGGGTGAATGCACCCCAATTTGTTTACCCATTCCCCTGTCGATGGGCATTCAGACGACAGTTTGGGGCTGTTGTAAGTAAAACTGCTATGAGCATCAGTGTGCAAGGCTTTGGATGGACGTGTGATTTAAATCTTGGGTAGCTACCTAGCAATGAGTAGCTGGGTCATATGGTTGGGATATGTGTACTTTCTAAGAAGCGGGTGGACTTTCCCTCCGGGGGTGCTTGTCCTCCACCCTCGGCGTGTCTGAGGGATTGTGGGCTGGGGCACTGCAGTGCTCTGGGTCTGGTCATGTGTCTGACTGTGATCAAGGCTAGGGGCCTCCTTGCACCGTGGTGTCAGCCTTGCTTCATCCTTTACTGTAGTAAGGGGACAGGTGGCACAGCGAAGCCACTCTCTCAGCATGTCAACTGACAGCTTTAGCTGTGATTTACTTCTTTTTTTTTTTTTTTAAATTAGGATTTGGGTGAAGATTTACAGAGTAAATTCACTTTTCATACAGCAGTTCACATATAATTTGTCTCATGGTGATTTACTTTTTTGGTCAAGATTCATATTTTTATATTTTACTTAAATTTTTTTTATTTTGAAACATCTTATTCACACTTTTGTGTCATTCTTCAGATGTTTCTTTTGATGGAAACCACAGCTTTTTCTAACTGGTGGAGTGGATTTTTGAGATTTTAACCCAAATGTTCTCGTTGTGACTATAGCATAACTCCTCTGCCACGTTCATCGTGAGCTTAACACAACTTAAAACTATTTTCAACTCCCACTAGTTAAGATTTCTATCGTATCAGTGTTCTTTAATGCAGAAGTAAAATGTATTTGGTGTAAAAATATTGGAACATGCAGGAAAGTGTAAGGAAGAGGACCGTTTCATGTGTTCTGTGTCTGGAGGCAATGATGATTACTATGCTGTTGTATTTCCTTTGTGGTACAGACGTATTTTTAAAAATCTCACCCCTTCTTCCATTTCAGTGGAAGACTTACGACCCTGCCTTCTCCCAGTTGGAAATCTGGTTCCGGTTTGTCTTTGTGGTGCTGACCTTCATTGTCACCGTAAGTACTGTTTGTGTCACAGACTGCGTCAGAATTCAAACAAAGACAAAGCTAGTTTGTACAGTTAGGATTATCAAAGTGTGTGAGCCCCTGGAAGATTCATCTGAACTTCTGAGACCCTCCATCAAAGGGGCTGACTTGGTAGGACTCCGTCCTCTCTGTCCACGACGATGCTGCAGTGTTGAAAGGACAGTGGCCCAGACACCAGGGGCCTTTGAGCAGGGCTCTGTGCAGTGTCATAGTCACTCTGGAGCCCTGACTCTCAGCCCATTCTCGTCATGACGCAGTGGGTGGTACCGTTGAACCCACATGGGAGGAACATGGCCTTTATCAAAAGCACCTTTTTTTGCCTTTGGGTGACAGACTGGGGTTTTTAATGTGTGGTAAATTGTATGGGACCTGTCAGTCTTTGCTGTTTTTCTGGAAACGCAGGGTTTTGGCTCATTTGGATCTGAGGTTTGTGTCCACAAGCACACTGTAACTTTTTGGGGAAATGTTGTTAGGTGGCAAGTTGGAGCCAACTCACAGCGACCCTGTGTATTAACAGAACGGAACTGCCTGGTCCTGCTCCGTCTTTACTGTCTTTGCTGTCGTTGATGTCGTTGTTGTAGCCACTGTGTCAGTCCCTCTCATTGAGGATCCTCCCCTTTTTCTTTGACCTTTCACCTCACCACACGTGATGTCTTTCTCGAGGGACTGGTCCCCCTGAAAACATGTCCAAAGTACGTGAGACCAAATCTCACCATTGTTGGTTCTAAAGAACATTCTGGCTGTGCTTGTTCCGGGACAGATTTGTTTGTACTTCTGGCAGTCTGTGGTATATTTCATGTTCTTGACCAACACCAAAATTCAAAGGCATCAGTTCTTCTTTGGTCTTCCTCATTTATTGTCCAGCTTTCACATGCATATGAGACGATTGAAAATACCATTGACTTGGGTCAGGCACACCTTAGTCTTCTAAATGACACCTTTGCTTTTGAACAGTTGAAAGAGGTCTTTCACAGCAGCTTTGCCCAGTGCAATATATCATTTAATTTCTTGACCGCTCCTTCCATGGACATTGTGGATGTAAGTAATGTGAAATCCCTGACAACTTCAGTCTTTTCTCCATTGATCATGATGCTGCTCATTGGTCCAGTTGTAGGATTTCTGTTTTCTTTATGTTGAAGTGTAATCCACACTGAAGGCTGTAGTCTTTGATCTTCATTAGTGAGTGCCTCAAGGATGTCCATCCTACTGCCCACTTCAGGAAGTGAGGTTGTGTCAGTCATCTGCATGGCGCTTACCTTAAAAGCACAAGAGGTCCCACAGAGACCCCATCTGTGAAGGTGAACGTTTATCATTTGGAGCGAGGACATGTGCTTCATTTCCTGGGACATAGTCCCTGGCTTGCTGCCTCTGGGGTGGTGCCCTGCCTTTAGCTGCTTGCTGATGGGTAGGGAGTGACAAGACACTGCAATGGTGAGCTCTCCCACCACCACCCTTAGAACTCTTGGTTCTGAGCAGACCTCCTCTAGAAGGATGCAGGCACGTGGTGGGCACGTGAGGCGTTGGAGGCAGTGGTCCTTTGTGGGGTCGGGTATGGGTAGGAGGGCAGGAAATGGGCACTTGTGTGAGGGGTAGAGTGTGACAGTGCTGAGGCCAAGCCCAGGGGCCTCGGGTGTTCCAGGTCCCCTAGTGAACTTAGTGAATGAAAGTGGGAAGCTGACATTTGTGCTGGTCGGTGAGAAGCCCTTGCTTGCTGTTGAAACACCCCTTGCCTGGGATTCTGCTGCCACACTCTGGGGCCCAAAGCACCAGTCCCTAAGGCCCTCACTTAGTACGTTCCTAAGCAAAAGAGGTAGGCCTGAGCCTCATCACATAACTTGGACTGGGGGAAACTGCCTGTGGACCAGATCATCCACATGGGTTTATTTCCCATCACAGGAAGGGCTCAGTCTAAACTTGACAGGATTGGTGGCATTTTAAAGGCTTACAGGAGCTTCCCCAGTGGGCCAGGGCTCCTCTGCCAGGGAGGTGCTTTGCAGATGAGCGTGCCCTCTGACCCCGTCTGGACCTTTGCTCTGGGAACTCTCGTGCTCCTTGCAGCTGGTGGTCTCTGGAGTGATGGTCCGGCCCTGCCTGGGTCACCTGTGTGGCCTCACCAGGAGCTGGCCTGATAGAGGCCGTAGGGCTGTGTTCTTTTTTTAGGCCCGTTCTAGTCCAGTTCCCTTGGTGCTCTGCTGCAGCCAGCCGGGACCCTGGTCCCTTTCAGTTATCGCTGAAGACCTCTGGGACACAGGAGTTGACTAAGCCGGCAGCCAGCTGTCACAGGTCTTGGCTGACTCCTGGCCCTGGATCGGGTGGACAGCGCGGTCGCGGCAGTGACGCCCGCTTGCCTTGCAGTGCCTGTTTGCTCACTCCCTGCGGAAGTTCTCCATGAGGGACTGGGGCATCGAGCAGAAGTGGATGTCTGTCCTGCTGCCCCTGCTGCTGCTGTACAACGGTAGGCACGGCTTCTTGTCAGGCACTTTGCTCCTCGGAGCTCTCAGGTTGGAAGGAGCCTGGGAGATGGCTGAGGGCCAGAGTCTTCTGGAAAGCAGCTGGTCTCCACTCTCAGCTCCCCAAGACCAGGCAGGTGCCTGGGATCTGTAACAAGCCAGGCCTTGCTCTGGTGGTTAGGACTTGGCCAGGCTACAGACACAGCAGCCTGCGGATCTGGCTGACGGTGGCCGACCCGCTGCCAGTCCTCTACCTGCTCCAGAGGCGTCTGCTTCCAGAGCTGGCATGGTGACCGCACTTGCAGGGAGGAGCGGCACTGGGAGCTTAGGCTCTCTGTAACGTGTGCGGTGCAGTCTGTTACCTGGCACCTAGTGTTTCTGGAAAGCAAAATAGCCTTTGGTTCCCCACCTTCCCTTTGGCTCTGGCCCAGGAGAGGCTAACAGCGCTGAGCCTCGGGGAGAGAGTAGGGTGCACTGGCTAAAGGGGGCTGTGGGCCACGTTGATCACGAGGAGGGAGAGAGGAAAAGGGGGGCGCCACAGCTGGGGATGGGTGTGGGCTGGAGGTGGCTGCAGGCCAGAGGCAGTACAGGTGCGTGCCACGGGTGGGTGCCGGCTGGAGGTGGTGGTGGGGGGATCTGTATGTGGGCACAGGCCGGTGGTGGTGCAGCCGCATGGCTCACACCGCTGTCCACTTGTTCCAGATCCGTTTTTCCCCCTGTCCTTCCTGGTGAACAGCTGGGTCCCGGGCATGCTGGACGACTTGTTCCAGTCACTGTTCCTGTGTGCCCTGCTGCTCTTCTGGCTCTGCGTGTACCACGGCATCCGTGTGCAGGTGAGTGCCCTCCCCAGCCCCCTGCCCTTCCTCCCCAGTGTCTGGGGCCAACGGAACCCACACCACAGGGCAGTGCCGAGTGTGTGTCTAATATGGTGTGTTAGCAGCTAATGGTGTGCTAGAGATGCTGGCCTTGTTCCCTTTCTTTCTTAACTTTTTTTTTTTAACTTTTAAGGGAGAAAGAAAGTGTTTAACTTTCTATTTGCCTAAGTTCTTCATTGTTGGACTCTTGTGGTTGGCTTCGGTGACACTCGGGATATGGCAAACGTGAGTAATTTTACTGTGAGTGCAGAGACAGTCATGAAGATTTGACAGAAGTGGACAGGGCCTGTGTCTAACCGTTCTATGAAATCACCCGGAAGGGGTGTTGTCGGCCTGGGTTTGAGAGCTGGCTGTGGAGCAGGAACGGAGGAGTTCAGTGTTCTCGAATGGCTTGTCGGGGTGGATGTGTCTGCTGGTGTAGGATGGCGGACAGAAAAGGCCACCCTCACTGAAGCGCTGTCCTCTGGACAGACAAGGACTTCCACGTAGAGACGATGCTCAGGCCGCTCCTGGGTCCCCACTGTCCTCCCAGGGCCTCCTCATTTGGCCTCAGTCACCTTCCTTACTGCCCATGGGTGTTTACTAGGACTTCTGTCCTTCTGGGAAATGTCACCATGGCAGGAGCCTGGTGTCAAGCCACCCTGAGTCACTTGAACAGGAGCTCCCTTGAGTGTTCCATGTTGGGGCGTGATGGTGCCCGGTGGTCTAGTGTCACCCCACCATGATGTGTGCATCACCCAGACCGAGTGCCTCGTCTCTGGGTCCCTGTCCCCACCCACCTGTTCCCTGCTGCCTGTTTCAGAGTGAAATGCATGCGATTTCCCAGCACCTCTCTCTTGCTCTTGTGTGCTTCGTGTGCCCCGTGTGCCATGACAGTGTGCTGGCAGACAGCTCTAGGATTGCGAGAGAAACCACGTAGGGCTTTCTGTAAAGACAGACGCTGCTTCCCTGGAGGCAGTGCCACAGCACTGAGGATGTGGCAGATGGCCATGGGAGTGGAATTATGTGTGCTGCAAATATGAGATGGGACATGAACAGCTTCTCAGAGGTTCAGAATCTCTTTCTCAGAATCCTATATTGTTGGTTACTAGGTAGTTTAAGAGTTTTTTTTTTTTTTTTTTTTTTAAAGCCAGGTAAGAAAAGCATAAAATAAAAAGTGAAGCCAGTTATTAATCTAAAATTTTTTCATCAAATCCATTTTTAGAGTTAATGAGTTACATGATCCAATGTACCAGTATCGCGTTGACACAGGAAATTTTCAGGTAAGAACAGTTAATGAAGCCTAATAATTTGTTTTAATGCTGTTTTATAAAATCCCTGAATTTTATAACTTCAGTTGTGATAACTTCAGTTGGCATGAGCTTGCTAACAGGCTATTTGGGAAGTACTTTAGAAGGTTCATGGGTGGAAAATTTGTCTGGAAAAATGAGTCTGAGTAGTATGAAAACAGACTTTTAAATGCCACCCCTCAGTGTATGGTTGACGTGCCAGGTCACAGAAGGCGTGACCTATTTTAGGAAGATGATAGAACAATTGAGGAAACGTTTCTGTTCATGCTGTTCTTTAAAGTAGCAGGTAGGCTCCAGGGTGTTACAGTGTGATGACCAGGACAGTGTTACCGGTGTGGGAGATGTGCAGCCCACAGGTTGGCATTCGGAGGGGCCATGCTGGTGATACCCCCACAGAGGGCACCTGCTGCTCATGCTCTGGTGACGATTGACTCCAAGGCAAGCAGGGTAGAGTGTCCAGCGTGGCTTTTATTATTTGCAGCAAATAAGACGATAGAGGGAATGTTTTCTCAGAGCTCTATCCCCCTGAACAAAAGCAAAAGCAGTCAGGCAAGTGTTAAAGCTTATGAGGAGTCGGAGTTACACATGTTCAAAGCTTTTGGGGAGGTGTCATGCCTCTTGCCTCTCGTGGAGCTGT